GTAGTAGTTCATTGAACCACAATACTGATAAGTGATTAATAAAAGTCAAAAGACCAAAGAGGTCATCTTAAAAAAAATAAAAAATAAAAAAAATAAATACAAAAATTAATATAATAATTAATTTTAAAACATAAATAAAAAAAAGTTTTGTATTAAATTCTGTATTAAGTGATATAGAATTCATAACAAATTTTGTATTATTGAATACATAATTTAATATAGAAAAATTCTGTATAATTTTTAAATAAATTCTATATACTTTTTTCAATAAGGATTGCATATTGTAGAGCAGTTGTAAACCAGCAGTCTAGAAATTTAAAAGAAGTATTGTTTAGTTGTGCTTAAATTAATTGGTTCATAAAATTGATATGTATAGTAAATTTAGTATTTGAAATTAAAAAAAATTTATATAAATTAATTTTTATATAAACTATTATATAGAAGAATGTAGCTGTTTAGACAATTGCTTAAAGTTGTTCTATTGAGTTTGCAAGCCACAATGTATTATTCATATATGCCAATACAGATATAAAGACAATAGCAGATTAATATCTACTAGAACTAATTTGAATAAGCCATTTGGTTGTAGTAGTATAGGTAGTATATGTTTTATATATAAGGTAGCTATACAATACAATTATGCTAAAACCAGAAATTAGATTTTGATTACAATTTATTAAAGTTTAATAAAGCATGTTTGATTTAAAAAGTTAATATTTAATAAAAGAATAATTTGTTGTTAAATACTTGTATTATAATAATTAATATAATTGGTTTATGACTAAATTTTAAATAATTTTGTTATAGGTAAGTCAACAATTTATTATTTGTTATAAGTATTACATTTAACTAAAAATATTCAAATTTACTAATAAAACTTGATATACCAAATTTTTCTTTCTAAAAGAGCAGGATTTACAATTCATTTTTCAGCAATTGCAAAAATTACAAGAATTTAGGTAAGTCTTTTGATTTAAACCAACAGCATCAGAACATAGTTCAAAATTCAAAAAATAGCCAGCTTTATGCAAATTATGAGGATAATAAAGATTATTCTAAACAACAAAAAAAAAATACAAAACATAAAAAATTATCATCTAAATTGTATTAACAAAAAATAACAGAATGTAATTTACATATAAGAACACACCTAAATCTAATAAAGCAGCTTATCTCTAATGCTAATTAGATAAGTAGTTTTAACTAATGATGTGCTGCATATAGTACAGTATGCAAAATTTTTTTGGAAATTCTAGAACAAATTATAAACTATTCATATTTCAAAAATTTGCTTATAAACTATTTTTTGTATTTTAAGTAAAATTATTGCTTGCTAAATTTTGCATATAAATAGTTTATTTATTATGTATATATTATACATATTGCATATGCTATATACAATATATGCACTATATATATTATGCATTATTTATTGATTTCTGTCGATTTGGAATCAATATGTGTTATTTATGAATCCAAAAATAACATGTCACTTTGGAATTAGTATGAATTTTACTGATTAATAAATATTTACATAGTACTCATTAAAAATTTTGTAATAATAAAATAAATAAAAATGCATAATTATATATTCATGATAAAAAAAAAACCAAACTAATCATAACCATTATTTTTTTTAAAAAAAAAATAAAATAAAATGTAATTCTATTTGTTAAAAGAAAAATAATTATCTAGCAATTTTTGCATTGACTGTGCAAAATACAGTTACATTGTTTTGAACATAATATGTTGCTTCTCTTACAAAAACAAAATTTAGTGCTACAGTTAGCTTTTTTACAATAGCAACAATTATGGGTTTTATTAAATACTTAGGTTTGGTTATATAAAACACTAGAGATTTTTAATAACTCTAAATATTTATTGTATGATTTGTATTCATTAAACATAAGTTGTTTTTTCTTTGATGAATATATGTTTTTAATATTCATTTAAAAAAATTATAAGTAAAAAAAATAAAGGTTTGTTCATTTATTTTTATTAAAGAAAAAAGTAATAAAAATTAAAAAAGCAAATCTTTATTTTTATTTACATTATTACAAGTATGATATGTAATTTATATTTTTATCTTAATTAATTAAAAGCTATATCATAAATATCAAAAATTGATGTAAGTCATTTATTAATTAGTAAATATTTAAAAATAACATGCATTAATTCCAGGTAATAAGTAAAGTAGTACAGTATAGTAATGCAAGTTAGTACAGATGCATATAAATTTTAATAGTATATACATTTATATAATATAAATTTTTTTATACAAGTACACTTGAATGTTTTATACATATATACTTTTTTATCATAAGAAATATAAATATATATAATATTTAAAATAATTATTATTGCATTTTTTGTATTTATAAAATTCACATCAGCATTACTGCTATAAAGCAAATTTACATTTTGCAAAAAATTTATTTACTATAATACAAAATTTTTAAATAATTATATAATATATGTTTAGATTGAATTTAAACCAAGACTTGATTGACTTTTACTTGTTGATTTTGTAATTTGAATGCTTCTACTTCTGCTATTTCTTTTTTAAGCTTCAATCAATATTCCAATAATTCCACTTTTCTTTCTTCTAATTCGATATTTGTAAACATATTGTCTACTTGAATTTCATTGTCTTTATCTGTGTCAGATTTAATTTTTACTATTACTTCATCTACAACTTGATTACTAGTATTAGAATGTGATTTTTTTTATACAGTATTAGTGAGTAATAACTTTCTCTTGTTTGATTTTTTTGCTTCAGATTTTTTGTTCTTAAATCTTGTAACTTTAAATAAAAAATTAAATTATTTTATAAATTTATATACTGTTATGTTATTTTAAATAAATAATAATACATATTTATTTTTACAATTTGATTCAATTTGTTGTCATTTGACTTGACTCTTATTATACTATGAATATAGTATATCCAAGTTATTATAGATATCTTTAATTTTTAATAATCTTTTATCATAATATTTATTACTAAAAAAAATATAAAAACTATATAAATAACATAATATACAATTAGTAATTTAAATATCATATTATATACTATAAAATAGCTGACATTAATTTTAGTTGCTTTTCTTTTTTGTTAATTAAAGCATGAGCTAACTCTGGCATATTAGTATTATTTCTATATTTTTTTTAAATGTGACATTCTATTTTTAATATATTTATATTTAATAATGAAATAATCTATGAAGTTTTATAATATTTTGCCAATTTATTTTTTTTAAAAAAAATTATTAAAAATTATTAGTTTAATAAATTAATTTATTTTATCTTTCATGCCAGATTTATTTGAATTTTCAATTTTATTCAAAATAGATTCTATTAATTCTTAAGAAAATGCATTAATAATAGATTTTGCTAAGTTATAAATTTTCTTTGAAAAGTGTTTGTTAAATAAATTTCTAAATTACAAAATAAATAAAATATTTTAATTTTATTTAATTAATAAAATATTTATAAAATTAAAATTACTAACTATTGAAAATGAACAACATATGACTTAAAAATATATATCAAATGTGTTTTTTAATGCTTTGTTGTATTTAGCTCATATAAAGCAAGATCTAATCTTTTTGTTTGTACAATATATAAATTACCTAATATGCATTCTCAACCTTTTTTATGTATATGATATATACATAAAGGTTTATTAGTAAACTCTTGAATTATATTAAATAAAGCATTAAATAATTTTTTATAATCATTAGCAGATAAAACATTGATGTATATTCTACAAAAACTCATAAATAAAAAATTTAATAAATTAAATAAATTAATAATAATAATAAAATAGTATTAGAAACTTAATATATAATGCAAATCATAAATTTAATATAATTAAATTATATAATATTAATATATTTATCTAATTTATTTATTTCATCATATGTATTAATCTCAAATTCATTAATATTATCCTTAACACATTTAAATAATAAATTAATTTGAAAACATTTTAAGTTAATTAATAATTCTGCTTGTTTTTTTTAATATACAGATAATTAAAATTAACTTATTATTAAGCCATTTTAAATAAATAAAATTTAAATTATTAACTATTACTATTATATATAAAATTTGATATATATATATAGATTTTGTATTAGATTATATCAATCTTTTATATTTTAATTATAAGATTAATTTAATATAAACCAATATCAATTAATTTAGATTAAATAATTAATATAATTTGGTACAAAATTTAATTATACTAAAATTTATAACAAATTAAATATACCAATACACTAAATATAATTTTTTAATTCTGAATGATTATTTTTAATAGCATAAAAAACTCTCAATATTTCTTAACTATAAGAATGCAAATTTTTGTAGGCTTTTGTAACAAGAATTTGTAATTTATCAATACTATTTAATAATTGATAAATATCTGAAAGTATTTTAGATTTAAAAAATATTTTTATTAAATTATCTATCAAAATTAATAAATATTAAATTAATAAATATTAAATAATTATGTACTTGAATAAATATTTCTTGAAATAATTAAATTATTTTCACTAATTACTTGATACATTAATGTTTGAAAATTTACCTTTATATTTGCAGGAATTTTTTCATGAGATGATAGTAAGTGATTATGTGTTCCAGTATATACTAATGTGACAAAAAGGCAAGCTTTAAGATCTTTAGGTATGAATTTATAAAATTTTATAAGATATGTTTTTTGAATAATTTTGTCATAATCAATATTACCATTAGAAAAACTATGAATATAATCTAAAAATAATTATTAATTAAAAATAATTAATAAGTTAATTAATTTTAAAACAGATAATTTATTATATTATATTTTTTTTTTTAGATACATGATGCAATAAAGTTGTACAATATGGTAGCTGTTCTTATATCTAATAAAAATTAATAAATTATATTAATTATTAGTTATTAAATTAAATATTACTAACTATATATTACCTTAGCTTTTCCAAGTAATAAGTTTCAAAGAAGCATAATATCTACACTGTTATGATCAATCTTAATATAATAATGTTATCAGTTTTAACATTATATTTAGTACAGTCAATAAACTATTGAAAACCATTTTGAGATAATTGTAATTTGCATAAAATTGGGTTTTCAGAAAATATAATTTGATTATTATTCTTAAACTTGTAAGAATAATTTTAACACCTAAATATTTTTTAAATTTAGAAATTAATATTAAGTTAATTTATTTAGTATTTACCAAAGATAAAATTTATCATGATATTGAAAAACAATATGTCTGATAAATTTCACATCTAGTAAACATTAAGATTGTCTTTAAATTAATATTAATTTAAACAAATTTTATAACTTATATATATGTATTAGTTTTTTAATATTAGTATCCTGAGTTTTTGTAATCTTTTCCATAATAAAGATTTGATATCAATCTTATTATGTTCAATACTTATAATTGAGGGATCAGTAAAACAGCATATTTTAATTCCCATACAATCCTGCTCCTCTTTTTTTACTTAAACATTTCCAAAATAAGATGAGCTTTTAATTAAATAAATACCACCACTACCCATTGAATATTGTATCTAATAATATCAATATAAGCTATCATTGTTAATGATTATTATTACTATTAAATACTGTAATACAATAAAAAAAATTATTACATTTTTCCATGCATAATCAGATCTGTCTAATCTGCAACATGAAATATAATTGCAATACCTTCTAGTAAAGTTGCTGAATATTCTATTAGCACACTTAAATGAATTACATTTTTTATATGAAATCAAGATATAAAACATGCAATTTCAGAAAATTTGACATCCTCATTAAATAATTTATCTAATTGCCAGTATCAGTATCTAACAATTCCTAATAACAATAAATATAGATTCACTTTAGCTATATTATTATTATAAAATTAAATTTGTTTTTGCTAGGAAGATAATAATAATAATTAAAAACTACTTTTTTATATGCATACTTAATCAAATTCAGGGTTTACAAGATTATTTTGAAATTCTTCGACATCTGACATATCAGAATCCATTTTTATTTAATAGAGGAATCACAATCAAAAAAGGGAATTTTTATTAAAAGAGATTAAAAGAGGAATTTTCACTAAAAGAGAATATCGGCTATTATCAAAAAAGGAATTTTTTTACTAAAAGAGAATATCGGTTACGATTCAAAAGAATAATTTTTACTAAAAAGGAATTTACTACTAAAGTACATAACAATAATCAATCAATTAATCAATTAATACATAATGCATAATACATAATGTATGATGCATAAACTAGCAATCATGCGTTCGTCTAAGTACAATAAAATCTTAATATTTTTTTTGAATATCTGTACTAACTTGTGTTACCGTACTGTACTACTTTACTATATACTCTCAATTCCGAATCGACAGAGATCAATAAATGACACATAACATACATATTGTATGTACTGTACAAAAAAATCTGGACATCATATAAATTGCACATCACTAGTTTTGACCAATATCTGGAAAATTTGTACTGCACTCTGATGCAGTTTACTTGAACCGTTTTTATTTGCACTGTTACTTCAATTCAAATTATATTAGCAAAATTTCATGAAATTTTTTTATTTACTTACTTAGAAAATGTATAAGTTAAGTATTCTTCAGTTAAGCGTTCTTGGGTATTCTTGAGTTGTGCTTCATGTGTTGAGTGTTCTTGTATTGGGTGTTCTTGAGTTGAGCATTCTTGGGTATTCTTGAGTTGAGTTTTCTTGTGTTAGACGTTCTTAAGTTGGACATTCTTGCATAGTATGAATTGTATGAATCAGGTGTTGAACATTATAAGTTTGACATTCCTGTATATTATGAATTGGATGTGTAATATTTTGCTAGTGAGATTTTTTAATATATTAAGACATTCATTGCAGCGTTCTTTGTCCATCAAACTTTGTTTGTTTTTTCTTTGTTTCTAATATTCAGTTAAAAGTCAGAAAAGAATAACTTTGTGGATTCATTAATAGAAAGAGAAAAAATTATATAAAAATATATAATGATATAAAAATATTTTTCAAAATTATTTATCCATCATTATTAGCATCAAAAATAAGCGTTGATTGTAATATGATCTGCATTAAGAATTGACCTGAGTCTTTTATCAATAAGTAGCTGCGCGACGTTGTCACGCAAAACCAGGAACTGAAGATGGATTTTCAGATCGAGTTGCAGACAAAACTGCTATTATTATAAGTTTTTTGTTTGCTTAACTTTTATAAGTTTTATTTGCAACTTTAAATTAGATTATATGTGCAATAGGT